GACTGGGGTTACTCGTGGTGGTGTCGGAGGTTCTCGTCCAGTGGTCGTTCGGTATCGTTCGTCGTAGTCAGAGTACGTTGCTCTGAGGTCTCCAAGGGTAGCTTCCGCTTGGATGTCTGACGCGTAATCCCAGCTGTCAGGGTTCTTCGGGACAATGAGTCTATTGTCGTAATAGACTAGTCCGGTGTTCGGGTTGAAGGACCACTTTGGTCCTTGGGCTGGGAGGGGTTCCGTTGTCGGGTTCTTCTGCGCTACCGTCGGTCAGAGGTAGCGGCTCCGGGTCGTTCGATGGTTCAGGCTAGATTGTCTGGATCTAGGCAGATCGACTGTCGAGTAGGCGAGCTCGACCTTATGTTAAGACGACACCTTCGAGGGTCGTGGTAACGTTCAGGTGCAAGGGCCTAGCAGGCAGGAGAGGAGACTCGAGTTCGGGGGTGAAGGTGATAGATAACCAGGTTGAGCTGAGGACCATCCTCAGCTCTCCAGGGGTCCTAATATACATAGAAGCCATGCTGAAACGGTGCGTACTAGGGGAGGCAAGCCTGCTACCTACGGGACCGTAACAATGAGGCGCTGCCTCATGGTGTCCGCACCGTAGCTGTACCGTATCCGCGTGTAGTCCATCCACATCAGTAACATGAGGCGTAGGTGAGGCATAGGTGAGGTGCGATCAAAGTTCATGTCCGAGACACCTGGACCGTTGTAACACCCAGAGAACTATCGCACCATTGGCCTGGAGAGCTGCTTGCTCAAAACTCTGACGCACCTCATCGACTGCCGACTGCGCGAGTGGGCAGAGGAGTTCGGTCGTCTGCCGGACACTCAGAGCGGTTTCCGTGCAGGCCATCGCACGTACAACAACGCATACATACTCCGCGCGGCCATTGAGAAAGCTCGTGCCCTTGGCCGCCCGCTTTATGTCGCTTTCCTCGATCTCACCAACGCATTTCCCTCTGTCGATCAAGCCACCCTCTGGACGAAGCTTGCTCGATGGGGAGTTGGAGGCCCTCTCTTTGACTGGCTCCGCCACCTATATGCGCATCTACATTATGTTGTACGCCACGATGGGGAAACAACCGAGTCCTTCCGCGCCCTCATGGGCATTCTCATCGGGGATCCGGCGTCCCCGCTCCTCTGGATCCTCTTCCTCTCAGACTTCACTCTTGCTCCCCATCCTGACGACATCTTCCTTGCTGGGATACGTGTATCGCACCTCGAGCTCGCCGACGACCTCGCATTTCTCTCGCTCTCGGCAGAGGGCATGCAGAGTAAACTCAGCCAATTCGAGCACTACTGCGGTGTCAACTTCCTCCTCATCAACGTCCCAAAGTCCGTGGCTTCTATCCATGGCCCACTACCGGACCCGACACCAGCTCTAAAGCTCTACGGCAGGGTCCTTGCCTACGTCGACTTGGCTGCATACGTTGGCATGACGTTCCTCACAACGCACAGGGACATCTTCAAGGAGCATTACGCAGTGAAGGCGTCCAAGGCACGCAGCGCATCTAGCTCGGCATTCTGCCTGGAGCACTACATTGGCCCGCTCCCGCCCGATGTCGCTCTGACGCTGTATCGGTCTCGAGTGGACCCCCACCTTGTCGCAGGCTGTGAGGTCGCGCTAGATGTTCGAGCTGAGTCCATAGCCATACTCGAAGATGCACAGCACATCTTCTTGCGCAGAGCACTCAACATCAGCCGTCGAGCTCAGCTAGCACCCCTCTTCTCCGAAACAGGCCTATGGCCCATTGGATACCGCCGCTACTACCTCGCAGTGCTATTCCTGATCTACCTCCTCGACAAGAGACCCACACTCGCATATGCAGCTTTCCTGGAGGTCTGGTCGCTGTCGGTTAACGATGGGGCCTCAACGTGGTGGACAGACCTCTGTCATGTGGGTCTGGCACTGCCGGTCCCGGTGACACTGGCCCATGCGGAATTCCCAACGACGGACACCCTGCGAGAGTTCCTTGGAGTCATTGAGAAGAGCCTCGCAAAGCACCTCTACGACACCATCCTCGAGTCCAGGCATCTACCCCTACTGCAGACCCGATACCGCCGCGTCCTGTCGCAGCAGCCCAACGTCGGTAACGCTGCCCCGGAGCTCAGAGCAATATGCGCCCGTGCCGATTATCTAAAGCTCCCGCGTAGGCGACAGCGACAGGCACTCCTGTTGCTCGTGTTTTCCGAACACCCCCTGGCGGTTGAGCGTCTGCGCCGCGCTCCCGGTCCGGTGCCCATACCCCGCAACCGACGCATTTGTCGACTCTGCAAGCTGCGCAATGCGGTGGAAGACGAGACACATGTCCTGCTCCAATGCCAGGCGCCTGTGCTGGCGACCAGAAGAACGACATTCCTCTCCGCCCTCACCGCAGCAAAACCAGGACTGCGAGCACTCCACTCCCGCCTCCCTCCCCCTGCCTTCCTCGATGTCCTCCTGACGTCAGGCTCGGGTGCGACACTCCCACTCTTTGCGGACTTTGTCGCCGACGTCTTCGAGATCGTCGACTCCACTCCCCCATACACCGTGGCAACCGATGCACAGCTCGCCGCGCTTCCTACTGTCATGCCTTAGCATGTACTTTGCGAGGACCTTTGTGAAGGTATGCACCACTTTGCGGTTTGGCCCCGTATCGTTAGTAGGGTGTCGGCTCCCCTGTGGGGAGTCGGCGTCCGATTAACTGCGGTGGCCGGCCCACAGCTGATATATATACTCAACCTGTTTATACAGTGTTCGCGAAATAGAGCAAGTCGTTGCCGAGGGCATGCCTTTAAATGGAGGCGACGACGCGCGAGTGGCACATGGGAAAAGACGCTTTGCAGAACCTTAGCGTATCTCTTTTATTTCGTCCTATGTATGCGTTCGCGAGGCCAGCAACGAACCCCAGGGTATCCATATCTGTCAGTTGAATGGGCTAAAACCACAGAGTGAGGCGTACACTCTAAATAGGACTCGTGGCTTTCGAAGATGGCGCACGACGCGCGTACCATGGGGGCACGCGACCGTGGCGCTTCGACTGCCGAAATCGTTATCTCTCTCTCTCTCCAGTCCGTACTTGCCAGCAGCGTACGTACAAGCGCCTCTTCTCCGTCCTCTCCCTCTTGCCATGTCGTCGTCTTTCTGGACAATGCTTTCGCTCTTTGTTCCTTGCATCTCTGGTAAAATACTGTACTAATCGGACCTTAGCGGGCCCGGGTGTGACCAGTGACACCCGAGATGCATAGCGGGGCACCGGGGCCGCGCGCTGTGACCGTGGACCGCCGCAGCGGAGCGGCGGCGGGAGCGAAAAATTTGGGCGCCTACCCCCATTTGGGCCAGAGATCCGTATGTCACAGCCGGCGGCGGCCTCTGTGACTGGGGACAGCCGGGGAAATAGCGGGGCGGGGACCCCCCTGTGACCTGTGACGCCCCGCTATGGTCCGATTAGTACAGTAGTATCCCGGTAAGTAATTTTTTACGCGCGTAAACCACACCACCCACGATAGCCTGTCGAGCTTACTCGGTGTTTTATACTGTCTCGTCTCCGAGATTCATTCAGCACATAACTCGCTCCGGAAGGTCCCTAGTCTATGTCAATGTGGAAGCAGCTATCTGTGTGTGCCATGAGTACCTCTGTGGAACCCTGTGGCTGCCATATTCACTCTATGCTGCCCGGGTTGTCTGGAATCTCTTCTGGCCGATCGGCGCTGCGTCTACGCTCACCCAGCTCCGGACGATGGACCATCCTCAAGCAGCAGCTCCATTGTGCCGCTCCTACCCTATCTGTCTCCTTCGTCTACAGCTATATAGAGTTTGGGACATCGTGTAGTACACACACGCGCTCACACAGGTAAGTGTCTATCAGGGAGGCGCCGTACGCGTTGGTGGATTTTGCTGACCCATCTCTTTGCATTGTACATGCACGGACATTCGCCAGCAAGGTATATTCCGTTGCCTCTCATCTTTAAGTGCTCGCACACAAGGTGGAAAAATGTGAGTCTATGCGAGGACAACGGCCACGGTGAGTGTCTACCGCTCGCCGCTCTACGAATGTACATTTCCCCCTTCACCACGCATGTTGCGACGGGAGGCCGCGCCGCATATAGCGTCATTTACCGCGCCCCCTAGATGGATGCCGTTCACAGCGCGGATGGGGACGCCGCTCTTCTCGTCGCATATTCACCGACCGCATGATTGGCTATGCTCAGAGTGCGCGCGGACGGCGCGACCATGGCCTTTTACGATTGGCGACATGAAGACCTTGCGCATGCATGCGAGACGCGTCGCCACGTTCCGCGGTAGCCCGGCGCGTCTTTGGCGGTGCGTTGCACATATCTGGATACTCTCCTGGCCGTGGTTGAAGTAGACAACAGATGGAAGGTAAGCGGTTCGTCGTCATCTTCGCCATTCACGCAGGACTCACATCCCTCGGGTAGCCTCGACAGCGCGGATAGGGACTTATTCTACACCAACAGGGGTAGATCCCCCGAGGCCGAGTACGACGACTGCTTGGTGTGGGAACGGAGGACTTGACCTGTGAGTGTTAGTCCGCGGAAGCCGTACAGGTCGACAGCTCCCGCTTTTCACGCATCATAGCGCAGCTCACGGTGTGTCTCTCCAAATCTGAACCGATTCCTCGCGCCCGTATCCGTTTGGCAGAAGGCACGCTATCGAGTAGTATGTGGCGCGTCCTTTCAACACCGTGCTCGCTCATCGCTCACTATGATAGCTTAGGATGGTCTGGACTTCCGGCATCTGGACATCGCACCCAACGATGGAGTGACACTCTGAGCGTCGATCGCGGGGACGTACGCGTAACCGGTCCCCGTCTACATCTACACGCCGGAAAAGCTCCTCACGGAATGGTACAGGTGCATTCGACCGCTTGCGCGCACGGGCAGCTTTCCTGCGGTGGAGGTAGATCTACCTCAGGGCGGGGATTTCTGTCACCTCGAGCTCAGCGGCTCCCACACGTCAAGGAATTGGCTGGGCCTTCGCTCTACTGCCGTCGTTTCACCATCCTGACCTCTGTGTATCGCATCGGTGCCCTTGTTGCGTGATTCAAGGTCCTGCGGAACGCCAAGACCATGCCATTTGGTGACGAGAAGCAGCGCGGCCGGGACAGTGTGTCTTGCTCGGTGCCGCAGCCCATGCGGCGCGTCGTGCATCACAGTGCCTGGTGTACTATGTACAGGAGTTTCCCGAGCTACAGTCCCGCAACGCGACGCCGTCTCTGCGACTAGCTCTGTCCGCCTGGTCAATATTTAATAAGAAATCTAGAAAGCGGGTAGCGACATCGGTGACACGGGGTATGATGAACTCTGAACCTGGAAGGCTGTAAGCCGCACAAAGAGAGGTCTTCAGTCTGTGAGAGAACGACTATGATTGCATAGTACTGTACCTGTAAGCCGCACAAAGAGAGGCTACAAGTACTAGTAAGTAAACATGTAAGGAAGCATAGGTAGTATGGGACTTACTCTTCAGTCTGTGAGAGAACGACTGAAGAGCAGAGGCCTGCAGAGTCCTCCTTATATACTACTGGGGAGGACGATGAGTAAGCGTAAAA